CACGCGGCGGAGTCGGGTGCTGGAGCCCCTCAGGTAAGAGATGGCAGCCAGGGGACGGGCCCGCCTCTACAAGTGGCCCAGGGCCCCGCGGTGGAAGCGCAACGCCGCCTGCTTTGACCACACCCCACGGGGCTGCTCTGCACTCCAGCTCCACGTGCTCAGGGTGAGTCACCGCTCCCCGGGCTGCAGGTGGCTGAGAGCTGACTGCGCCTCCCACCCCTCCCCCTAGTTTTCCCCCTCCCTTACCTTCTGCCTTCTGCAGCCCAGGGCCAGACTCCGCGTCCGAGCCGCCTGCACTTTTCAGTTCGAAAAATCCCAGGCTGTGCGGGCCGTGACGATGTCACGTCACGCCCGGGCGTCACCCCCCCACCTGCAAACGCATGCGCATTGCAGAAGCAGCCAGCAGCGTGCGCAGGCGAGGGGGAGCAGCTGACTTCCAGGTGCAGGGCCTGATTCAGCGGAATTGGCTTAAGGCCGGCCCTGCTCTGTGCCTTATTGATCAATAAAGCTGTTTGATTAGCCAGCTAACCAGAGAGGAGCACTTACTTCAACACGCCCAACATACAGCTGATCTGCCCCCAACCTGTGCCTGCCCCCTCCCTCCTGGACAGGCACCCTGTCCCCAGTCTGCTCTTGACTCCTCTCCCCGACCAGACACCCTGCCCACCTCTGGCTGCAGCATCCTGGGACAGGCCCCACGGTCCAGTCCCCATGTGGCCACAGGAAAAGCTGGTGGCAGCCCTCAGCATGGTTAGGAGGAAAGCCACAATCCGGCTACCGCAGACAAATGGGGGGTTGACAAGCATGGGGTGCAACTCCCTCATTTACCTATAATATAGGACGGGGAATATATTAAATGCAAAACTGTGCCATGGATCAGAAGCTTAATTACATCCTTTTTCAACTATTCTAGTTTTTCACAGGAATATGGGGAGGTTTGCTAGGTAAATATATATCAGGGCTACTCAATATGCGGCCCAGTGCCGTTTGGATTTTTGTGGGGCTCAACACATGGTCCACGGGCGGTAGCCAAAACAAAAAAATAGTCAATACAATGGTTTTCTGTTGATATGCGATTTAGTAGTTAAATTCCTGGACTGTCATTGCTCATTAAAAGTGCTGCCATATGGGTGGAAATAAGGTAAATATTGCATTTTATTACAGTCAACAGAACTGACTTAAATGGGGCCTGTGTGTCGTGTAGTCTTGCCTAAATCTTTGTATTCATGCCTGTCTGTGAAAGAATCTATTTGCATATAGCAGTGGTCCCCAACACGGTGCCCGTGGGGGCATTCGTGTGCGCCCGCCAAGTGCTCGGGGTTGGCCTAGCCCTAGGCGCACACATGGTGCCGGAGCCGGCCCCGGGGCGCATGGTGAGTGCCGGCCCCGGGAGCGCCGTGAATTGACCGCCTTTGCTTTGGGCGCGCGGCGCTTGGGGGGAGGGGAGGAGCTCCGGCACTGGGCGCACGGCGCTTGGGGGAGAAGGGGGGGAGCTCCGGCCCCGGGGCGCTTGGAGGCGGCCCCGCCCCCTGGAGCCCAGCAGGCAAACGGCCACGCCCCCCTGGTGCCCCGCAACCTCCAAAGGCTGGGGATCACTGGCATATAGATTTACATGTATATGCAATCACACAGTTAAATTATGGCGCTTGGCACGCGCTATGAGAATCATTGTGGTCTCCAGGGCTTTCAAAGTTGAGTAGCCCTGACCCAGCTGCTTTCAGGTTTCGGTATTGCATCCCGGCATTCTGGACGGTGCCTTCTGGTACCCACACTGGCTCTACAGCCCCCCTGCAGCCTCACCCCATGCAGCTGGGGCACACAAAATCTACTAGCCCGGGCCCCCTAGACTCCGGCGAGGGGAACGTGGGGAGTGCAGGGGCTAGCAGCGAGGGGTTTCTCGTTGTTTGTACGCCCAAGCACACTTCGGGTACCACCAAGCGTCTCTGCTGCTGCCCCGCAGGGGTCAGAAAGCCCCAGGAAAAGGGCGGAGCGTTAAAGCGTCCCCGTGGCGGAGCTGTTTGGAGTCCCGCCTCTCCCAGCACGGAGAGCGAAGCCTCTTCCCGCAGGAGACGCTGGCCCAGCGAGGCATCACCGCTCCCATGCGCGGCCATGGGGGAAGCCTGGTTCATACCGCTCTACAGGCGCCCGCGCCGCCGGGGCAGGGGGCGTGTCCCGAGGCTTCTACCCGCGCTGCTGGGTCTCCCGGGGAGCGGCACCGACTGGCCACAGGGAGGGACCCAGGGATCGAGCGAGCATGTGGGCGGGGCTAATGCAGGTTCTGGTTCGCGCGCACGGCCCGGGCCGACCACGTGGTGTCTAAGTCCCGCCCTCTCCTCCCTTACCGCCATGCTCTAACTCCGCCCTTCAGCCGGCTCAGCTTAGAGCACGCCTGCCTAGGGGCGGGCCCATCGAGCGACGCGACAGCCACGTGAGGCGAGACCTGACGACAGGGCTTGGGTCCCCTTGCGGGCCAACCACCCCGTGTCCCGCAATAAAATGAGGCGGTTAAAGGCGCGTCCATGAGTGCGGCGCGTTCTTCTTCTGCATCCCATCCTCCTTCTCCTTCGCCTTCCTTCCCGCCGCGGAGTCCCTGCTCGCCTGTTGCCGCTGCGCCTTGGTTCGGGAAACTTCGGGCATGTTTCTGCCCGGCCTAGCAGCCTGTTCCAAACCGAGGGTCAGGGTCCGTCGCGTGCAGCCCGTCCTAGGCCTGTACCATGGTGGAGAAGGAACCGTGCCGGCTAGGGCGACAAATAGAAACCTGCCAGCTTTGGGGCCCGGCGCTGTCACGCCCCTGCGGCTAGTGGTTTCTCTTTGCCAGAGGGGCGGGCCCTAGGGGCGTGTTCTCCTCCATCGTCCCCCACCGCCGGCTCCGTGTGGTTGAGTCCGGAGCGATCACGTGCCCCTCCATCCCAGTGCGTGTGTGAGAGCGAATAATGGCTGCGCTGCTGAACTCGGCCCGGCGGCTCCGGCCACTCTACTCCCGCCTCCTTAGGTTGCCGCGGGGAGCGGCTTCCCACCGCCCCTCCCCCCGCGCCGCAGGGCTGGCGGGCGCCCCTGGCAGGTGAGTGCTCGGGCTCATTGCGGCCCGCGAGCCAGGACAGGGGCGCCCTGCGGGGAGCCGGCTGGCCCCAGCCCCGGGGAAGGTCACACGGGGAGCTCTGCCTCCTCCTCGCCCCCGGCCTTCTGCCCCCTCCTGTCCCATTCGCTCCGGCCTTTGTGTCGCCCCTCACTGGCGCAGGTCTCGCCGGGGGGGTCTCATGATCCCCCCGAGCCCATGTGGGGCTGCAGAGCACTGCCCAAGGGCGGAGGAGCTGGCCGCATGCTGCACTGTGACCTGCGGCCACCGGGAAATGTAGCTCCCCCTGCTCAGGTTGCTGTCGCACGCCCGGAGTATACTAGGCCGCTGGCAAGCGGTCCGTCCTTGTACGCCGCAGCCGGAGACCCTGTGACATGCGGCTCTGTTGCGCTGCAAGGTGAACAGGGGACTGGGTAGCTTTCTTCCCGAAAAGCTTATAGTCAGACAAGGCGAAAACGATGGAGAGAGGGGAAGTGATTCGTCCTAGATCATGCAGCAGGTCAAAGCTAGTAATAGAGCCCATAGTGGTTTCCCGCTCTCCTTGGCTATAAGCCCATAGAGCCTTGGTTCTGATTCTTTTGGGGATATTCTAATTCCCTTGGGGGTAGTTCCAGCTTCCACCACTTGGTGGGATGGTCTTGTATTTCACTTCAACTCTTATGATTATTATGAATGCATTAGAATGTTGTAGGTACTCAACAGAAACAAGTGAAGATGCAGAGCTAGATCCACAAAAGGACTTAAGTTCCTAAGTCAACATTTAGGTACCACATACCTTCAAAATTCCAATTCGTCTCCCATTTAACCTTGAACTTTGGCAGATAAAGTTCTCATGTACAGGGAGTCCCCGGGTTACGTACAAGATAGGGACTGTAGGTTTGTTCTTAAGTTGAATCTGTATGTAAGTCGGAACTGGCGTCCAGATTCAGCCGCTGCTGAAACTGATCAGTTTCAACAGCGGGGGGCAAAGCAGAGCCAAGCCGCGGAGCGCGTGGGCAGCGGATAACCCTGTCCGCTGCCCGCGGG